GGCAGACACCCTATCCGTTTTTAAGAGTGCGCTTAAGACCTTCCTTTTTGATAAAGCTTATAGTTAGGGCTGATTAGATTCAGCCCCTAGTTTTGCTGCTGTTAGGCTTAGTTTGTCGGGGGACACCTTACTTCTTCCTTCTCTCTGTCTGTACAGTACCTGTGTACTGTGAATAACCCAGCTTCCCCCACATTTCTTTTTGGTGTCTATCTACGCCGGGATCCTGAGTCGTGGCTGATCCTGTTGCTGCGGTCCTGTGTCCTGGATCCTGAATCATGTGTCCTGGATCCTGTGTCCTGGATCCTCTATCCTGAGTTCTGGATTTGAGTCCTGGACTTCGAGTCGTGGCTGAACCTATCACTGTGGTCCTGCCTGACTCATCATACTACTTCCCTGATGCCTCCCACAGGCTTGTTGACATCCTCGTGGATTCATCTTCTTATTATAGACACATGCATTTCCAAACATTTGGTCTACCTACGCTGTAAAATGTATTATCTCTTCGATTTACACACGGCATCTATTGCACGTCTGTCCGTCCTGGGAAAGGGATCCCTCCTCTGTTGCTCTCCCTGAGGTTTCTCCCATTTTTCCCTTTAAACTGTGGGTTTTCTCTAGAAGTTTTTCCTTGTACGATGTGAGGGTCTAAGGACAGAGGGTGTCGTATTGTCATACTGATATTCTGTACAAACTGTGAAGTCCACTAAGACAAATGTAACATTTGGGATATTGGACTATATAAATAAACATTGATTGATTGATAGTTTGAGTTAAACTGAGGAAATGAAAATTGTGAAGTTACATGCGGAAGTTAAGTTGTCAACATAAATAAATCAACAACTTCTGGGTGAAAGTCCTTTTTTTTTTTACCTACACTGTATCCATCCACCCCAAACTCCTCTATCAGTGGACTTTCCCGCTTTTTCCACCAAAACAATTTATCTGAGCGTCTTATGTTACCACAACGAGAAATTAAATGCAAAACATGCATTGAAAAAGCATGCGAATGATATAGGAAATGTGGGTGTTATTCATTCAATACTAGTTGAACATTACATTTTTACATTTGTATGTGTTTTTTTTTTAATATGTTTCTAGTTATTGTGCTTTTTATCATGTTTTTAATTATTATTTTATTATTGTACTCCCATTGTGTTATTTAATATTGTTGCATGTACAGCACTTTGGTCAACTGAAGGTTGTTTTAAATATGCTATATAAATAAATAAAGATTGAGATTGAGATTCAGCATCTGGTGACAGCAGGCTGGGAAACGGCAAGTCTCTCGGGACAAAAACATCTGTTAAGTCATGTACTTTATTGTAATGTAATTTATATTCAGCCTCATGTCACGCCCTCACATGCCATGTGGAGCTGCCAGAAAGAGAGGGTGAAAGTGAAAATGAAGGTGAGGAAGAAGTGAGACATAGAGAAATATATGGATTGATAATAGGAGATGTTGAAGGTGAAGGATAAACTGAGTGCTAAATAAATAAAATAGAAGTGTAGAGTATTGTGGAAGTGAGAGAGACAAATGGAGAGAGACGAAGAAGAATTAAGGAAGACATCAGGATGAATCAATCAGGACACTAAGTGACTGCAAGTAGCCATTAAAGAGAGTGAGTCCTTCCAAGAAGAAGAATGTTTCAGCAAGCGCTCCAAAAACAAACACATTTACGTCCAGGTGACGAAGCCGTCTAGAGAGCCTGCTGCAATTATGATATGAGGAACTCAGGAGACACTGTGTTCTGTTGCGGCAAAGTCATCGAAGATAAAAAAGCAGATGTGTTAAAGGAAATGTAGACACCGTGTCTCCTTGACGTTGTTTGTCCACCAGAGTTATATTTTCTATTGTAAACTTTCCTCTTGGTATACATCATTACAATTATTTAACGACTACATTTAAGTAAAAATGTACAATACAGTGTTTTTACTGTCATGTACCGGGAAGTTGGCAACTGATTCTCCATAAGATTTATAAGAAATGCTATGAACCTTAGTAGTCAAATAGATCCTATTTCTGTATATTTTACAACGTTTTTTAACCATTCAAAGTTTCTTTACAGTTTGTATTAAGTTAACAATAAATGCATATGATTTAAATTTGGTTGTGTTTGTTAAATCAATGAATGAGAGGCCTGATTGTATTTTCATCAATGATACAAATTGGGTTTCAATATTGATTGACACTAAGCCCTACCTTAGTTTTAGCCCCATTTTTTTCAGTGTCCACAATCATTAATGAAAAGTGATGTAATCTCTACGAGACACAAACATGCCACACACACACACACACACACACACACACACACACACACACACACACACACACACACACACACACACACACACACACACACACACCTTCCTCTTCCTCTCTCTCTAGTGTGAAAGTAGATCCAGACAGAAAAGGGATCCAGATATTGTAATAGCCTCTTAATGGGGTCTACTGTAGCCCACAGCTGCTGCCTGCCTGAGGTCTATGCTGCCCCCCCTCTCCCACAACCCTCCCCCCCCCCCTGGCCCTTTCAGCCCGTCCTGCTGCTGGTGGTCGGTCTTCCTCCCTGAGGGCTCACAGTGCTGTTAGGCCACCATTAGTTCTGCTAATGGGCCTGACAACTGCGCCACATCCGCGGCATTTAGACCTCCTCTGTCTGAGATATGGATATCGACCACTTCAAAGGAAATGGAGAGTAGGGGGAGTCAATTTGATATGTACGTGTAGGCATGAAAGTTATGTACAAACACACCCACACACTCACAATATGCTTAGTGTAGCCACTGCATGAGCACAGACCTTATTATGCACTCTGACTAAAATCAAAAGTTTGACTCACCGGTAATCTTGTAAGTGAATGTTTGTTGTATGTCTATCAGTTTGTTCCTGATTAAGTCGGAAACAAAGTCCATCTATGGTGTGTGTGTTTGTATTCATTTCCACTGACAGGGTTCATGTTTAAATTTCAACTACAACTAACTTGTGAGAAATATGTAAATCAAAAGGAGCAAAGTGACTCAATGTCTTCTCATCCATACACCAAACTCTGCCAAAAAGAATGTTTCCTAACTGGATTTTTCTTTTATTTCTTCTTTTTATGTAAACTAAGCAAACGATACATGAATCATCTGAGTGAGTGAGAGTTCTGCCTGATAGTAGAAATCTTGTGTATTGAAGAAATCAACTCCTCTACACAACTTCTCAAAAGAAGCTTATTTAATATTCAAACTAAAACTATTCCTTGATACAGGCATTTTAACAATCAAAAATGACACATTAACGATTTACATCTTTATCTGGCAACAATTTGGTAAGGTATGGTTGGTAAAGTTATCTGTATATTAACATTTGTAAAATTCAATGGTTTTACTTCTTTAAAAGTTAAGTTTTTACATTTTCATACTAAATATTTCTTAATTGTCCTTGAATGTAACTGAATACTGTACTGCTGGTTTTAAGACAGATGGTCATACAATACATAATTTGGAATAGGTCAGTTGGGTTTTTAGGAAGTATGTAAGGGCATTTTACAATCTTTGATCTTTCTTCCGTTTCTCTCTCTGCACTTTACCAGAAACCATTATCAAAAGCCTCAGTCTAAATGTCACCAAGATACAGTTCACCGGAAATCTTCAACAACCAGCAGAGTGGTAGAGGTAACAGATTTTTACTAAGAATTAAATCGTCATTTACTTACTTAATCAAACACAGACATCAATGTTAGTGTCTGCTTAATTCACTAGGCCTTACAACAGGATGGTATGGCACTTGCGGAGTTAACTCTGATACCGGCGGTGTTACTGCTATGTTTTCCCAGCTGAACAACAACATTTGTGCAGGAAATCTTCTGACGTTGCTGTTCTATATTTTATAAATGAAGAGCAATCTTCAAGAGCAGAATATCTTGGCACAATGTGCAGCTGAGTACTTTTACTCTAAATGAATTCACCAGGAAGCAGGAAAGCACTGGCAGACAGACAATGGCCCTGCATAGTAAGCTTTGCCTGCCTCACTTGATTAATTTCATGCAAGCGCCAACCGCACAGAGGAAAGCCTTGGGGAAGCTTTAACCAGCGTCTTCCCGTGTCTGTCATTATGTACAAGATATGTGCTAAGTGACTAGCTTCATCATGCAAAAATAACAACATAATCTACTACTCAGTCTCTTTCAGCAGCTCAGACTCATCACTGTTTTTATAGTGGATGATGATGATGATGATTGGATGATGATTTTCTATATTTGTATTTAATTCGACTAAAGTGCCAAACCGGGTTAACAACCAAAAATACAGCTCAGTAAAGTGCTCAAAAATGTCATTCCATTCCAAGATTACGACATATTTTACCACTTGGCGTTGGACAAAACCTTATACCTTCTCTCCCAAGCACTGCAGATAATATCTTCTACAAAAACAGTCCCTTTCTGAAGGACAACACAAGTCGTTTATAGTCCGAGAGCCAAAATAAATCCACATAAAAAGGGGTCGTTTTAGTAAATCACATATCCTATGTCCTCATAGAAAGAGCAATAAAACACAAAGTTAACCTCATTCTCAATTACACCTTGCTAGAGACTGTATTATGTCCTCCTCTGGAGTGGCTTTAAACCTGCCAGTCTCTTACTTGTAGTGTAGCTGAGCATATTTGCATATACTATAGGGTAAAATACATATTATTCTGAGTCCAAATCTGTTATTTAGCTCTATTTCAATCACTGCACTTATTTGTTTTGCCTTTACAAATTGTGTTTGTTCACTGTCAAAGATGTGTTAAGATTTTTCCAAACAGTAACTTGTGCACATGTGGACAATCTTACACATCAATGAGCTGGACGGTTTTAAAGTAATGAAATATCATGATTTTGCAAGATATTCAACAAATATAATAATAGCTAAGTGTCAAAATAGTCAACACTTGCACTTATTCGGAATTAATACATGTTGCTTATGTACAACATTCAAACAAAACAATATGGTGACAAATAAGGTTAAGAAGTTCTCACCTGCAGCCTCCGTCTTCGGATGATCCCAGAATCATCCATGGCGCGTGTCCGGAGTCACCTGTCGTAGTGTCTCGTGGGCTCCTGTGGTTTCCAGGTGACGAGGGCGAGAAGACGCACCACTCTCGCGTGGCTTTCAGCGAGTCAATTTACTACTAAACCGAAATGCTTGGCGTTGTGTCGTCCGTTTTTAACATCACCAGCGAAAAACAGTGATCAATTGTTGCTGTTTTGGTGAGGGTGGTCATTGAAAGCTTGCGAAAAAGCGTATCTTGTCTCGCAAAAAAAATACTTTACAATCAAAATACATAAAAGTGCTCAACCCTGGCAGTTAGAGAGTGATGGAGACTGACATGGGCTGCTCTGTGGTGGGATCTGCTGAATGAGAAGTCCAGCTGAGAGACAGAGAAGAAGCCCAGACTGTCAGACTGAAGCTTATCAAAGCTCAAATAAGATGAAACAAATAAGTTTGCACACATCTGTCATCCCCGAGACATCTAGTATGAGTCACAGTTTTAAATAATAATGTAAAAATTGCACCAGTTACAGCAAAATGCAACTATTGTCATCCTGTAAAATGCTCCTCTCACAACGATCCTCTCCTTGAAGCTACGGGCTGCAGAAATCCGTACATACTACAGGAGTCCACGGCAGCTAAAGCACAAACACCATTTCTGGGCTGAGAAAGCTCCAGTGCATGCATGTACACGGAGTTCATAGCATGCATATTGCACATTATTGCCCAACTACAAATCTCGATTTTATGACACATCCAGGCGCTGTCAAAGCTTTAAAAAAAGGCGAGATCAATGACAATCTGTAGCGACTCTTTACGTCCCTCTGGTGATGCACGTCGGAGCTGAAAGCAGGTTGATCACCTCGCGTTTTCCTCCTTCGATACAAAGATTTGTCCGTTTTTCTGTCTTCTCACAGGTACACGATATGTTGTTCACTATGTTCTTCTCTGATGTAAGATTGATTTTCTCGCGTAACGATCTGTGGTCGCTGCACAGGCTTCGCTCCATCCTCAGCTCTTACCACCCACTTCCTACTACCAAATTACGCTTAACCCTTCAGTCACCAGAGGCTTGCATCAGCTAGTGAAGAGGGTTTTGATAAACAAGTTTTTCGAGGTAACATTTTTAAAGGAGGACATTCATTTTTGCACAGCTCAGGTGCATCAGTAATATAATACAATAATTAACATTAAAAGGAAGTCTTGAAAATGATACAATTCAAGCAACAGTATAATGATGAGCTAAGTGATTAATAGGCACCCTCTAATAAATGAATTGCTGTAGTCGGTTTTCAAGCAAAAACTAGAAATAGCACAGTGGCCGTGACCGATCAAGTTGCCATTTACTCCCTCAGTTGGGCAAAATAACATTGTATTTGTACTGAAGACGTTGAAGGACTTTAATGTAAATGTGTGTTGTAGTGAATTTGACAGTATCAAATCAAATCAAATCAAGTTTTATTTATATAGCACATTTATAAACGATTTTTGGTCGAGCCAAAGTGCTGTACTAAAAATAGTCTACAGTAGAGACACTTTACAGCAAATACAACTAGCTAACAGTATCATAGCTGTTGCACATTGCACCCAACTAAATACACCCCCCTTCACCAAACACTTCACTAGAGCGCAGTAACATCTCCAGGGTTTGCAGTTGTAGTTGTACAAGTGCTTAGGAATCTATGGTGGCCTTCAGATAACATAAAAACACTTTGGGGCCCTATTTAGATTAAGTGTTGTTTTTTTCTGTTCTGAGCTACCGTAGTACATGGCGGTGCAACATGGTGGACTCTGGGGAAGAGGACCCTATGTAGATATTTAGTGCTCAGACACAACAATCCTTAGTTTCAGGTGATTATACAATTATCAAAACAAAGACACAATTGTTGTATTCTATTTCTGCTCATACATTCCTGTAAACACTAAGCACAATATTAAGTGCATTTTTGGTAGCAGGTGACTTAGCACTATATACAGTATGTATGATACCAGTGAATAATTAAATGCTTAATTTATCAAGGCTATGTTCAAACTGTGGCCAAAGTGTCCTTAATCTGGCTTATGTCCATAATGTCTTTTGAAATCAATTGGTTATCTTTTGGGCCACCATAGTATGTGTCGCTCATCCAGATAAGATTATGCTGCAATGCTTCCTTAGTCTGAACAGTCATATCAGTCTTTGTACAACTTTCTTGTCACTCTCAGCTGACATTTGTTTAAATTGTGTGATGCCAGGAGTCACTTGGTGAATTCAAACATGGAAGACAGTTGTGATGGAGGAAAGTCAGTAGGAGAAAGTTAGATGTGAGACATCATAGTTTATATGTGGGCTTACTTGTGGGTCTTATTGTAAGCATATTGTTTGAAATAATAATACAAATGGGCCACAGAACAACGCCGCTGCAAGGGTTAAGTGCCTTAAAGCGGAGCTTAAAGAAGCTCAAGACTTAAATGAATGTTATGAATTATAGATGAAACCATAAGAGCCGACTTCAGTGACCTCTTGCTTCTGTAAGCAGTGTGATGCATGTGAAGTTTTGGTTTTGTTATTCTAGTGAGTGCGGGTCAGTGCTGGAACATGAAAAGTGCACTGGAATCTGATATTCACCACATTTAAAACAGACAAACAAAAAATCTTATCTGAGCAATACATTCAAATAAGGCTTGCAGTGTGAATGTAGTCTTAAAGACTATTTTTACAGTACAAAGGATTGATTGAGGGCACTGCTACATTTTTAAATGAAAATTACCTGAAGCTCAGTATCATCAAAACCAATGAGCTTATAGTCGACTAAGAGAGGCAAAAGAGGCCGCTTCCCTGCCCTGTTGTCAACCAAGGAGAGGAAGTGAACAGGAATAGGCAAGGCAAGGCAAGGCAAGGCAAGGCAAGGCAAGGCAAGGCAAGGCAAGGCAAGGCAAGGCAAGGCAAGGCAAGGCAAGGCAAGGCAAGGCAAGGCAAGGCAAGGCAAGGCAAGGCAAGGCAAGGCAAGGCAAGGCAAGGCAAGGCAAGGCAAGGCAAGGCAAGGCAAGGCAAGTGCTTTACAAAAAATGAAAGACATTAAGAAAAAGGCATTTAAAAATTAGTCATTAAAAAGAAAAGCTAATAAAATAAACATTAAAAGAAAAAATACATGGATAAAAGTTACAGTGCAGTCTAAGATATGAATAGTTCAATTAAACATTAAAAGAAAAAGTACATGGATAAAAGTTACAGTGCAGTCTAAGATATGAATAGTTCAATTAAAAGCAGTGACAAAAAGAAAAGTCTTCAGCCTGGATTTAAAAGTAATCAGAGTTGCAGTGGACCTGCAGGTTTCTGGGAGTTTGTTCCAGATATTTGGAGCATAATAACTGAACGCTGCTTTACCATGTTTAGTTCTGACTCTGGGGACAGAAAACAGACCAGTCCCTGAAGACCTGAGAGATCTGGATGGTTCATAATTTAGCAGGAGGTCAGAAATGTATTTTGGGCCTAAACCATTCAGTGCTTTATAAACCAGCAGCAGTATTTTTGAAATCTATTCTTTGACACACAGGAAGCCAGTGTAAAGACATCAGAACAGGAGTGATGTGATCCACTTTCTTAGTGTTAGTGAGGACTCGAGCAGCGGCGTTCTGAATCAACTGCAGCTTCCTAATAGATTTTTTAGTGAGACCTGTGAAGACACCATTGCAGTAGTCGAGTCTACTGAAGATAAAAGCATGGACAAGTTTTTCCAAATCCTGCTGTGACATTAGTCTTTTAATCCTAGATATATTCTTTAGGTGATAGTAGGCTGATTTAGTAACTGTTTTAATGTGACTGTTGAAACTCAGGTCAGAGTCCATGACTACACCTAGATTTCTGGCTTTATCTGTTGTTTTGAACATTGCAGACTGAAGCTCAGCGCTAACTTTTATACGTTCTGCCTTGGCTCCAAAAACCATTACCTCAGTCTTATCTTTGTTTAATTGGAGAAAGTTCTGACACATCCAGTCATTGATTTGTTCAATGCACTTACTCAGTGTTTGAATTGGAGCATAGTCTCCTGGTGAAATTGTTATGTAAATTTGTGTGTCATCTGCATAGCTATGGAAACTTATTTTGTTGTTTTTCATTATCTGAGCCAGTGGTAGCATGTTAAAGAGAAGAGGCCCCAAGATGGAGCCTTGAGGTACCCCACATGTCATATTTGTCAACTCAGATGTGTATTTACCTATAGAAACAAAGTTGTTTCTGTCCTTTAAGTAGGATTCAAACCAATTCAGAACTGTTTCCGAAAGTCCCACCCAGTTTTCCAGTTGGTCTAGTAATATGTTGTGGTCAACAGTGTCAAATGCAGCACTGAGATCTAATAATACTAACACTGAAGTTCTGCCACTATCTGTGTTTAAGTGGATGTCATTAAAGACCTTTACAAGAGCAGTCTCAGTGCTGTGGTTTGGACGAAAGCCTGACTGGAACACATCAAAACAGTTATTTAAATGCAAGAAATTACTCAACTGTTGAAAAATAACTTTTTCAATGATTTTACCTAGAAATGGGAGGTTTGATATGGGCCTGTAATTGTTCATTACTGAAGCATCTAGATTATTCTTTTTTAAGAGCGGTTTAATGACTGCAGTTTTCAGGGCCTGTGGAAAAATACCTGAGTGAAGAGATTTGTTTACTATATGAAGTAGATCTGAGGCCATGCAAGGCAAAACATCTTTAAAAAATCCTGTTGGAATAATATCAAGGCAGCAAGAGGAGGATTTCAGAAGTTGAATGATGTCCTCTAGGTTTTTATCATTAATCTGATGGAATTGTGTCATGGTGTTTGAATTTATGTTAAGTGGACACAGAGACAACACATTTGCTGTTCCTGATGCAGAGGCACTGACTGCTTGTCTGATTTTCTGAATTTTGTCAGTGAAAAAGGAGGCAAAATCATTGCACGCCATGGTGGATAGAAATTCAGAGGCTACTGACACTGGGGGGTTAGTTAGTCTGTCGGCGGTAGCAAACAAGGCACGTGTGTTGTTTTTGTTTTTGGTAATGATGTCAGAGAAGAACGATTGTCGTGCGTTTTTCAATTCCAAATTATAAAGGCCAAGTCTCTCTTTATAGATTTCAAAGTGAACCTGGAGATTTGTTTTTCGCCACCTGCGTTCAGCTTTTCGACATTCTCTTTTTTCTGTTTTCACGCTCATGGCCTTTCTCCATGGAGATATTTTCTTGCCAGTCACTTCCTTTACCTTAGTTGGAGCAATGGCATCTATAACATTTAAAATGTTTGAATTAAAATGATCTACTAGCTCATTTACTGAGATGTTAGCAGGGGCAAGTGTGGAAGAAAAATTCTGAGTAAACATTTCCCTAGTATTTTCAGTTAAATATCGCTTTGTGGTTACCTCTTTTTGAACATTTTTGTGAACAGAAATAGAGCTCTCAAAGAAAACACAGGAATGGTCAGAGAGTGCAACATCAGTCACCACAACCTTAGAGATATTCAGACCCTTTGAGATAATTAAGTCCAGAGTGTGCCCCTTATTGTGCGTGGGCTCCGTCACATGCTGAGTCAGTCCATAGCTATCAAGAACACAAAACAGTTATTTTGCCCCTCTGTCCTGGGGGTTGTCAACATGGATGTTAAAATCACCAACAATGACTAGACGGTCAAAGTCAATACACACTATAGACAGCAGTTCAGTAAAGTCATCAAAAAAGCTTGCACAGTATTTCGGGTGGTCTATAGATATTTAGGAACAGAGCTCGAGAGGAGCATTTCAGCTGTAGGGCCACATATTCAAAAGAATCAAAGTTTCCATACGATGTCTTCCTGCATTGAAGGGAATCATTGAGCAGAATAGCAACTCCACCCCCTTTCTTATGCATTCTTTCCTGACTCATAAAACTAAAGTTGGGAGGGGTTGATTCGATAAGAACAGCTGCACTGTTATTTTGTTCAATCCAAGTTTCTGTTAAAAACATAAAATCGAGATTGTGCTCAGTGATAAAATCATTGATTAAAAATGTTTTTACTGCCAAAGACC